AATAAAATTGTAAATGGAAGATTATAAGAGAGGGTTTCCCATGCCAGCAAAAGTTACTGGCGTGCCATGTTTGGCACGCGTGCCAGGGGTTGCCCACCCCTGCCCTAGACTGTCTTTTAGCCAAAAAGGGAGGGGTTTAATTGCTAACACCCCCTATTGTTTTTATCTAAATTCTACAGGTCAAATAAAAGAAAAAAACAACGCATTCTACAGAATACTCAATGGCTCAAGGAAATCAGTCAGGATAGCATAGAGCAGCCCATATGGTCCAGCCTACAAGCAGCTCTGCCCAAATTAACCTGGGTTTAACCTCTTTTGGACCCCCTGAAACTATTTCTCCTCCTCCTCTTCAGGCCCTGCAAATTTGTACAAACAAGATTACAAGTCCTAGTTAACCAGACAGTAGGACAGTTTGTCCTTAACCCAGGTAAAGGGACCCTACCAGCCTATACCCCAGGAAATAATCTGAATTTACTCCTTAGGTATCCATGACATCCCCTCTCATGCAGGAAGTAATAAAGGAGAAACTGTGAGCCCATCCCTCTTCTTTATATGTACCTTTTAAGACTGGAATGAAAGGGTTAAAGAGAATAAAATGGGGGAGAGAAAAACTTACTGTGCTTAGCAGATAGCTTGCAGAAAGCTTGCAGCCCTGAACACTGCATAGCTCAGATAACCAGAAGAAACCTGGCATTGGGAGGAACCAAGGATGGACCGGATCCTTACACAGCAGAACGGCTTGCAGCCAGCAAGGATTAATGAAAGTCTGCCTCCCCCTTTAGTCTCCGATGACTCCTTTTTGTCTGACTCAGCCCACCTGCATCCAGGTGCCTGAAATTAAAATCTCTTGATACATTATGGCCTTATGTCATAGGTACATGACCCCGGTCCACTCCACACCTTTCCCTTACCATGTGCTGTGTTTCCATGACTCATCTTCAGGACTCACATGCTGATTCCTTTAGGTGGTGGTGCTGGAGGCCCACCTTAATGCATCTTGAATTCCTTGCAGCATCCCCAACCATGGCCTGTTCACTTGGGCTAACTGTTGTTTCCTGAATGAAGGGGTGAATGGTGCACTTCTTCCTCTGAGATAGGAGGGAACAAAGAAGGGTGCGATCGTGAGGCCTGAGGAAGGATGTTGAGGGATTCCGCAGATGTCCTCCTTGCTTGCGGGAGACAAGGTTTGGGGGTGAAGAGCTTAAGCTTTGGAATCAGCCCAACCTGGGTCAGATCTCTGCTCTGAGACTACTGGCTGTGAGAGTGAGCTGGGTGGGCTTAGGGGCTCAGGGAGAGCGGAGGCCTGGAGGAGCACCCGGGGGAACACATGGGAAGTCCCCAAGGTGGAGCAGGGCTGCCAGCGGCAGTGAGGACACAACTGATGTGCAAGTGACACTGTAGTAGGCTGTGGGGGTCTTGAGAGCCTGATGCTGGGCAGCCAGACCCCCATGGAGAGCTGGAATGCAGAGGAGGGCCCCGGACCTGGGATCTTCAGAGCAAAGCCAGGAGACGCACTGCAGAGGCCTGAGGCCCAGTAGGCCAGACTGGGCTGTAGGGGAATAATAGGGTCAGAGAGTCCCCTGACTCTCCTCCCCAGACCCCCCTTAGGTCAGCCCCAAATTGTTGATGGCAAAAGGCCATCTGGCTATTCACCTTAGATCTGATGTTTCTCTTGGTTTTCCATTTTGGGGAGTGAGTGGGCTCTGTGGGCTTCGGGGGAGAGGGGGAAGGGAGAGGTGTCAGGAGCAGTGGGACAAACTCAAGCTGCAGCTCAGTGACTGCCTGGCCCCGTGGTGGTGACGGGGTGAGGCTGGCAGGCAGGAGCAGGGCATCCAGTCCCCGCTCTGCGTCCCCCCTAGTCTCCTGGGCGGGCGTTGGTGTTCCAGGCAGTGTGGCAGCCCTGGGACTGCTGGCTGGTGTGAGTGTGGGCTTGTGGCTTCTAGGTCAGTGCTGGACCCTTCAGTGCCTGGGGAGGGTCGGGGCACAAGCTGTAAGGGATGCTGGGAGGAGGAGTGGGCATGAGCAGGTGTGAAGGCAGGTAGATGAGCAAGCGGCTTTCTTGTCCGCTCTGGGTGCACAAGGGGGGACGGGGAACTGTGCAGGAGGCTCTACATTCCAGTCCGGCAGGGAGAGGTACAAGGTACGGGGTGAGTGATCCTGGGAGGCCCCGCTCAAACATCAGGACAATACAGCAAGCGCTGCACCTCTCCTCAGCACCTCTCAGCGTGCTGGGTGGGTGACCTGCCTCAGGCAGGGGGCCGATGAGGAGGCCCCAGGTAGCTGCTTTTGCCTCCCTCTGCCACCTCGGCCTTTTTGTGGGAATCTCTTCCTTCCCCAGCCCCTCTCTGTGACCTCTCCTTGTGCTTGTGCTCCGAGTGCTGTGTCTGTGGCCAGTGGCCTCGCAGCCCATCCCGGGACCTGGCAAGATGAGGAGATGACTTTGAGCTGCTCGGAGGCCAAGGGTGAGGAAGCCCTGCCCTCCTCACTTCACAGCACAGTGGGCCACCCAAGGCCTGGGGACCCCTATCCCACCCTTCACAACTCTGAGACCCCCTTCTGGCTGGGGGAAAGCACACCAAAATGAGGGCCATGACTCCCCTGTCACCCATCTGCATCTCCTCCTCTGGTGGGAGGGTGGTGACACCGGCCAGTGTGCGGAGCTGCTCTCTGGTGAGGCTGTTGATACTCCCAGGGACTGACTTGGTCTCAAGCTGGGGCATGGCCAGGAGCCCAGGCTGCTGAAGGGTGGCAGCTTGCTGTTTGGGGCAGGGTGAGCCAGCAGTGGAGGGGAAGAGGAGCCAGGTGTATGGGAGACAGCGTGCCACGGGCAGGGGTCTCTGCCCAGTGGCCCCCTTTTGGGCTGGGAACATCACTGCATTGTCTCCCCCTCCCCCCAGCACTGGCCTCTCCTCTCTAGGTAAGGGCTGAGATCAGAAGGTTTGATGCTGCTGGGACTGGGTTAGAATCAGTGACAGAAGTTAGAACCAGCTGGGAGCCTGCCTTTTGGGAGCCGGGTGACTGGGCATGTTGCTTCTTGGAGCTTCCAGTTCCTTCTCTATGAAACAGAGATAAACCTGTTTACTGCATGAAGTTGTGAGGATAACCGAGCTCATATATAAGAGAGGCCAGCACAGAGCCTGGAAGAAGAGATGCTCAGGAAGTGGTAACGCTCACTATTATTGTCACAAGGCTCGAAACCAGAAGACGTGGACTTGGTCCTGGATCGTCATGGGCAGGTTATGTGACCTTGGGCAGGTTGCTTAACCTCCACGCCTTAGTTTTCCCTCGGAATGGGAGGATGGTGACACCCCACAGGCTGCATGATGCCGAGTGAAGGAACACATTTAAAAGCACTTGGTTAAACATACAGCTGAAATGCTGCACAAATAGGCTTATTTTGTTCTCAGAACGGACCTCATGTCCTGGGAGCAGGGAGTCTGACACTGAGTGACCCAGACGCTATCCTTAAAGTCTCTTCAGATCTCTAATGGCCAGGCCCCGCTGCCCCTGCCCACCTCACTCCTCTCCCCGACGGTGTACACCTCTCCCCACGGCCCACACCTCTCCCCCAGAGTGTACACCTCTCCCCATAGCACACACCACTCCCCATTGCGCCCATAGCACACACCTCTCCCCATGGCACACACCTCTCCCCATAGCACACACCTCTCCCCATGGCGCACAACTCTCCCCATGGCGGACACCTCTCCCCATAGCACACACCTCTCCCCACGGTGCACACCTCTCCCCCATAGCACACACCTCTCCCCATGGCGCACACCTCTGCTCATGGCGCACACCTCTCCCCATGGCACACACCTCTCCCCATAGCACACACCACTCCCCATTGCGCCCATAGCACACGCCTCTCCCCATAGCACACACCACTCCCCATTGCGCCCATAGCACACGCCTCTCCCCATAGCACACACCACTCCCCATTGCGCCCATAGCACACGCCTCTCCCCATAGCACACACCACTCCCCATTGCGCCCATAGCACACGCCTCTCCCCATAGCACACACCACTCCCCATTGCGCCCATAGCACACGCCTCTCCCCATAGCACACACCACTCCCCATTGCGCCCATAGCACACGCCTCTCCCCATAGCACACACCACTCCCCATTGCGCCCATAGCACACGCCTCTCCCCATAGCACACACCACTCCCCATTGCGCCCATAGCACACGCCTCTCCCCATAGCACACACCACTCCCCATTGCGCCCATAGCACACGCCTCTCCCCATAGCACACACCACTCCCCATTGCGCCCATAGCACACGCCTCTCCCCATAGCACACACCACTCCCCATTGCGCCCATAGCACACACCTCTCCCCCTCGCACACCCCTCTCCCCATGGCGCACAACTCTCCCCATGGCGGACCCCTCTCCCCATAGCACACTCCTCTCCCCATAGCACACATCTCTCCCCATGGCACACACCTCTCCCCATAGCACACATCTCTCCCCCTAGCACACATCTCTCCCCCTAGCACACATCTCTCCCCCTAGCACACATCTCTCCCCCTAGCACACATCTCTCCCCCTAGCACACATCTCTCCCCCTAGCACACATCTCTCCCCCTAGCACACATCTCTCCCCCTAGCACACATCTCTCCCCCTAGCACACATCTCTCCCCATAGCACACATCTCTCCCCCATAGCACACATCTCTCCCCCTCAGCACACATCTCTCCCCATGGCACACACCTCTCCCCATGGCATATGCTTCCGCTACGGCACATGCCTTTCCCCCATGGCCAGTGGGACATGACTGTCATGCCCCGTTTCAGTATCTTTCAGAATAAACACGAGGACTTCCTGCCAAAAGTGCAGGTGGGGGCCCGACCAGGCTGGCTGCTGGTCTGCTGCCAGGGCTGGAGCCCCGCCCTGGGGTGCGGGTCTGCCAGCCTTGGACACCTCAGGTGATTGGGGCCAGATCTGGGCCTGGGGAGAGGAGGAGCTGGCAGGCAGTGGAACCTCTGCCTGTCTTGGTGGTCAGCATGCTCAGGGAATGGCAGGCGGTTCTTCTGCGCCTCTCCTGGCCTCTGGGCACTGTGTCTCTCCCCTGAGGACCTCTGCTTTTGAACAAGCCTAAATCCCAGAGAGATCATGGTCACAGCCTTGCTCCAGCACCTTCCTGGAGTATCTCTTGCACGGTCTAGTTACTGACCCCACTGCGCATGCTGCAGTTTAAAGCTGTTTCCTTCGTTCTCTCCTCTTCTTCTGCCAGGATTCACCACCACAAGGGAGTTCATCTGTCTGATGTCAAACTCAGCCACTGGCAGGAGTTTGCTCAGCTCTCCCCTGGCCTGGGAGGCCTCCCGGGGGAGGTGCGGCAGCCCAGGTAGGGCTTCTGAGGAGGTTGAGTGGGGTCCCTTACTTCCCAGGGGGAAGTCCAGCAACAGTCTTTCTGTCCTGGGAGCCTGGGGGTGATGACGTTGGCTGCGTAAGAGGACAAAGAGGAACATTTCCCGACCAGGAACTGCACACTCAGATCCGCGAGCCTGCCCATCCGAGGGTCAGACCTTATCCTACTTGCCCCTCACAAGAACTGCAGGATAGGTTGTTCTTGTCCCAGGATGTCACATGCTACTCTTATTCCCACTTTACAGGTGGGGAAACAGAGGCTTGATGAGGTAAAGGGTCTTGTCCAAGGTCACCCAACTAATAAGCATCCAAACCAAGTGTTGAAACCAGGCTCCCATCTCCAATCTGAGTGCCACATTTTATTTGGATAATTCTGATGTCTTAGGAAAGAGGCCTGGCACTGGCTAAGAACTGCTTGGAGCCTAGAGACACTCCAGAGAAGAGGGCTCTGGGGTGGAAGGGACCCCTCCCCAAATCCGGGGTGTGGGCAGGGGCTGAGAGGTCTCCACTCTGCCTGGACTTCCTCCAGCTGCGGGCTGAGCATCCTCAGTGCTCTAGAGCCTCACACCTTTGCACCACCTTCTCCGATGTCTCCTCACCTTAGCCACCTGAACAGGCACAGGGACTAGGGGTGGGACTGACTCCGCCAGGAGAGCCGGGAGGCTGTGGGTTTGGGAAACCAGAAGAGACTAAGGATCCGGCTTAGTCAGAATATCACACAAGGCCCTTCTCCTGTTGTGAAAAGTGGAGAGAGCTATGCAGGAGCGAGGCGGTGGTAACTGCAGATGACTCACAGTGTTTCCCTTCTCTATCCATCGGGACTAGAGCACTTATTAAGCACCAGCTGCATACCCAGTGTCTTGCCAGCTGTGAGGGGAGACTAAGAAGCATGGGTTCTGGGAGCTTGCTATCTGTGGTGGGGGTCCCCGCTCTGGCTGGCTCCTCCACCCTCCACCCTCTACCTTCCACCCTCCACCCTCCACCTCACTCACATCAGCTTTTTCTGCCCTTGCTTCCCCGGTCAGCATGGCTCCTGTGTGCAGTTTCAGGCTGGCCCGCCTGTCCAGCTGGCAGGTCCATGCGGGGCTGGTCAGCCACAATGTGGTCAGGCCCCATGAGGACCTGTGGTGGAGAGGGTCATCCCCCGCCTCCCTACAGTGCCCGGAATTACAACTACAGTGTGGCCTTGACTTACGAGTGTCCCGACTAACGAGTTTTTTGAGATACCAGCTGTCTCTCGGCCAATTTTTTGCATTGAGTTGCTAGAGTAATTTGAGTTAACGAGCTCCTTAACGAGCTCGGTCTCGGAATGAATTAAACTCGTAAGTCAAGGCCCCACTGTACGACGACGTTGCTCTCCTGCAGCTCAATTTCTCAGGTGAGGTGCTGGCCCTGGGCAGCAGGTGCAGGTTGTGGTGAGAGAGAGGCAGACGCTGGGAGGGCCGGCAGCGGGGCTGACTTCTGAGGGTCCCTCCTAGCGCTGTAAACGGTAAAGTATTCAGTGCATTTGGTGACAATGGTGAACTTCAGCATCGACTGGAGCTGATGTTGCACCAACTCTCCCACCTGCTCTTGTGGGGACGGAGGGCTGGCCCTTTTCATGCTGGGCTGCGGCGGGATCTGCCTGGAGGTCCCTAGAAGAGCTTTGCGGTTGTTTCATCTACCAACAGCCGCTCTACCCTGTCTGCAGGCGTGTGCCAGGTCCCAGCCAATAGTGGCATGTTACAATGAATAAGATTTCTTCTATTTTTCCAAATATTCTTTCGCTCATTCCTCGTAACAGTCCTGTCAGGTAGATGAGGCAGGTGTGTACAGATAGGACACCAAGTTTAGTGAGGGAAGTGACTCTCAAGTCCATGTGACTCCAGGGCCAGGGCTCCTCAGCACACATGTGCACATGCATACTCCCCTATAGACACATACACTCACACAGTACATGCTCACGCACACTGACTTCCATGCACACGCGCATTCCCACGCACACATACTCACCGGAATGACACTCACAATACTCCATGCACACTCATGCACACTCCCATGCACACACACTCACACCAAACACACTCACTCCTGGGCACACACTCACACCATACACATTCATGTGCACACACCGACAAACACTCAGCACTCCTCCATCCCACTGCAACCTGTACCCTGGGGTTTCCCGAAAAGAAGTTGTTGCTGTATTTCTTTCATTTTATTATATGTGGGTACGCTCTGAACTCTTGTTCAAGAGTGACTGTTTCTAAATTGACTTAAATATACTCGAGAGGAGAATTTTAAGTTCTTACCTGACTGGAGAGCCAGTGTTACTTCCAGTGAATAGATTGCCACAAAGCACACAGAGGGCAACAGAACAGTGTTCTGGCTCCCGCCAGGGGCTGCCAGCAGAACCGCTCGGCCGGGCCTGCTCTCTGTGTTTCAGTGCAGGGTGACAGGCATTGAGGGAGGCACAGAGGGGCACCGGATGGAGTCTTTCTCCTGGATGTGGTTGGAGGGACTGAATGAGAAGGGAAAGGGAGCTACTCTCTCCCCAGGTGCCTGTGTTTAGTTAATGCATGCCTGCATTCTACCTGAGAACATGTGTGGGCTTCACCTGTCGGGCATTTTGGGAACAATGTCCCAAGAAGCCAAAACACCCTGAGGGAAACCCCAAATGAGTTCACAGTAGGACAAGCTGGGTACAACCACCGGGGAGAATTTGTACTTTTCCTCAGTGCCCGGGTCGGGGGTGTGCAGCCTGTACTCAGCCCTAGAGGGCGCCATGCCACTGCACTCTACACATCGTCCTCTGTGTGAGCGGGACCCTCCAGGTGGTACAGGGCACAACCCACACAGCCCCCCAGAGGCCTGGCTGGTAGAGACCACGAACCAGGACTGTTTGAGAAGGGAAGAGGACCTGCCAGCCCTGGCAGTCTCCCCTGTGTGGGTCTCTCTGAAATTATAACCTGAGTTTTTCCTAAACGCAGGCCCTTTACTTTTGCTCTCCTTGTTCCAGCAGTGCCCAGGCCTCAGCATTCGGGGTGCATGTGTGAGTGAGGTCTACTCCTCCTCTTGACTACCAGCCCCCAAGTCTTGGGGACACTGTGCTCCGAGGCCTCTGTGTTCATGGTCCTTGCTTTACACCCTGCGGCCTACACTTGTGCCCCTTCATTTTCACGTCTGCCTCCCGCCGCCCATGGCTGGGACACACTGCAGGACACGCTGCAGGACGCGGTAGTGCTGCTGCTCAGCACCCGGCTCTCAACAGCTCCCGCGTGTATAATGGGGGTGCCCCCCCCCCATGCTGTGTGCCAGCTACCTGGACAGGAGGGCTGATGCCTGCCAGGTGTGGCAGCAAGGGGGCCAAGGAGGAAGGTGGGGGCGGGGTCTTGCTGGGGCTGGGTCCCTGGCCTGAGCAGCCGGTCTAGGAGGCTGAGGCAAGACGGGATCTATGCTGGAAGCAGGAGGGGCCAGAATGGAGGGTCTGCTCCCTGGGGAGGCCTGGTGCCCCTTCACCTGGAAGGACTGCCTGCCTGTTTCTCTGGTTCCCTGTGCTTGGACTCTTGGGGGGATAATGGGAGGGAGGAGGGGGGAAGGGGCGCTGGTGTGCCCAGATGGGGGCACGTGACGCCTCGGGGGTGTGGTCAGCTGGGGCGGAGGCTGTGCAGAGCCCAAGCACCCTGGGGTCTATGCCAGAGTTGCAGAGCTTTTGGACTGGATCCATGACATGGTGCGGGTGAGTGTGGGGCCAGGGTGCAGAGGGGAGGTTTGTAAAGAACCTGTCCCTCAGAAACTGTGGCCCTTACCCCTTAGGCCTGGGCCTGGCTGGGGTGGGAGAGGGGCAAAGGCATGCTCCCCAGAGTAAGAGGAAAAGGAAATGATGCAGAGAACACTGAATCCACTGCATTTCTACCCACGTAAGCCCTGGCTGGGGAGAAGCTGACCTGAGTGTGTGTGATAGCCCCGATCTGCCATTGACCGGGTGACCTTTGGCAAGTTCCTAACTTGGCAACCCTCCGTTGCCGGGTAATAGCCATCATGGCGCCCTTGCATGCTAGCGTGAGGATTAAACATGGCAAGAGCTGTACAGGACCTGCGGAGTCCTAGGTTGGAGCGAGTGAGCCTGGGCTTCTCTATGGATGTACTGATGACCACCACTGGTCCCTGGTTTCTAAGGCAGTTACTAGTGCCTGCATTCCCCCGCGCTGGGGGCCGAGCTCAGCGTTTAGCAGTTTGGGTTTGGCAACTCATTCTGTGTGACACTGGGCAAGTCATTCACCTCCACCTGTTCCGAGCGAGGGAGGGCCTAGTGAGATAATGTGAGTATAAACACATTATTTGTACCCAGTACAGTACAAAGGCAGGGCGTGGCGAGGGAAAACTCTGCAGGTCGGCACAGGGTGGGTGGCGGATAACAAGCTTGATGGATTACGGGGACACGTGCCTCCAACTTCTCACTCAAACCTTACAAAAAGCCCAGAGAAGCGAGTATTGTTAGCCCGCTTGATAGAAGTAGAAGTGCAGGTTCCGAATGGTTAAGTGATTTATTAAAATAAGTTACTCGGCTAGTGGGTGGGTCCAGCTCCCTTCTCTGTCAGCTCAGGACTCCCTCCCCCAGCCCTGCCCTTTCCTCCTCCTCACTGCAGAGCAGCCTCCTGTTTTGGGGTCTCTGGCAGGTCCACTAGATGGAGGAGAAGCGGACCCCGATGCAGAAGATATGGATACATGTATCTTATTACCACACACGACACAGTGGCCACCACTGGCCAGCCTCTGGGGGTAGGGCCTCTCCCCTTGGGCCCCGATTTCTAGACCCTCTATCTCACCAGAGAGCCCCAGCGACAAGAGGAAGGATGGTCAAGGTTGGGACCATGGAGGAGCCGATGGACATGGGGGAGGGGCTGGAGAGGAAGGGGCGGCTGGAAGCAGCTGGAAGCTGCCTTCTGCCCTCTCCCCTCCCAGCCCATCACTTGGGAGGATGCCCAGGGATCCCTGGGGCCTGCCTTGTCCCTGTGCTCTCAGGTGGGTGGTGGTGAGAGCAGTGCCTCCTTAGAGGAGCCCCTGGCCCTGGAGGCTCCTGGGAAGATGGGGTCAAGGCTGGACAGTCCAGATTAAGCCCATGGAGTCAGGATCCTCCCCACTCTCCACGGTTGGTCTCACCTACTTCCTGTTCTTACCTGGCTCTGACTGGCCCTGCTGGGGCAGGGGTAGGAGTGGGGACACTGGAAGGACCTCTGGTTGGTGTTGGAATAGGGAGTTGGTTTTAAATGACAGTTCTGTGAACTGGTCCAAGGAGTTCTTTTATTAAAGGAACTCCTTTAATAAAAGGGTTGTATGGTCACCGTTCAGTCTCTCTCTCTCTCTCTTTATCTCTCTCTCTCTCTTTCTCTCTCATTAATGGGTAGAATTACAATTTCCCTTTCATACATGTTTCTTAAAGCTCTAGAACTCACTCCTGCTCATCTCTCCTACTTTCCCTCTGGGGATTAATAGTCTGATTGCTGTTTCTCTGTCTTTGGATCTGTCCCTGTTCATCAGTCTATGTTGTTCTCTATATTCCACAAATGAGTGAAATCATGAGGTATTTATCTTTAATTCTTTACATTTGTTAAATCTGTGTGCAGGATGCTGCCCAGCCTCCTCGGTGCTGAGATGATGCAAGTCTGAGAAACACGTAAGTCAGTGCTGTCTCAGGGAGTTCTGGCTTCCCCACAAGACCCATCTCTCCTTAGCTCCTGGCTCCTGTTCCAGAACCGAGCCTTGGGGCTTGGGGAGCTTTCCTTCTGCGGTGAGGCTTAGCACTTTCCTGGTCAAGCTTCTCCTCGTTCTCCTCCTGAGCAATTGAAATGCAATTGGCATCTTGGTTCTAAAAACGGCAATGGATTTTTTATGGTGCTTACCCAAGGAAGTGCAATTAGCCTGTAGCAATAGCACAGTGTTTCCATGAGTTTATCAGCATGTTTAAAGGAGTGGTAGAAATGAATATTCATTCCTGGAGGGTCTGCTTCCGTGTTTTGAACCAGGGCCTCCTGCATTGTCTCTGGATCCGGGAGGGGCTGCAGGTGTGCTGGGAGCACTCACCACAGCTGCGGTACAGCTTCAGGGCAGCCGATGCCCTGGGCAGGGAGGAGTCACCTGCAGGTCCAGCAACTATGATCTTTTGTGTGTTTCTGATGTCACCCGTGAGCATTTGCTTATGTAAAGGGAGGTTTCTGTTGATTGCAGTCATTATGACCTGTTAGTAATTAGTAACATTTGAATACTACTTCACAGTTTATCAATCCTGCTCACATGTGGCATCTCATTTAAACCTCACAACATCTGTGTGGTGAAGATACTGTTATTGGGCCCATTTTATGAGCAAGAAAATTGGTTCAGAAAGATTAAGTGACTTTCCGAGGCCAGCCAGCTAGTAAGTGTCAGGGCCCAAATGTGACCTAGGTTTTTGACTCCAAATCCACATCGCTGTTGACCCATGAATTAAGGAGAAGTGTACAATCGGAAGGAACCTGGCAAACTCACCTGCCTGCAGTGATACTTTCTCTAGGTGAGGTCATCAAAACCTTGCCCCTATGGGAGACCCTTAAGTCAAGTTCTTACCGATCCCCGGTTCTCCATGAGATTCAGGGTCTAATTCAAATGTTACCAATGAGCATCTTCACAGGAGGAGGATGAAGGGAACCTGCTGAGAGAGTTTGCTGACAGCGAGTCCCTGTTTGCTGATAGGAACTCCTGCCAGCAGACCAGGCAGATGTGCAGACTCCGAGGCACTGACCTGCCCTTCCTATTGGCACCTGCCTCTCCAGGCCTTAGGAAAGTGAGGAGGCGTGGGTGCATTCCAGGGCTGGCTGTGGGAGTGCGGGGGTGGAGATGGGGGCAAGGAAAGGTGGGAGATTCAGGTCCAGAAGGATTTGAATGAGGACCAGGTGGGTGCCCAGCTGTGTTAAGCTTGTAGGGAATGCAGAGGCCGAGAAGTCGCTGCCTTATTGGAGCAGAGACTTACTTGCCATGAACTATTAGTGGCCAGCCAGGCCGGAAGCTGCTGGGGGTTGTTAAACGCTAATCAAGTTCCAAGCGCGCTAATCAAGTTCCAAGCGCCTCTTGTTGAGTAAGTCAGGGCCTGGGGAAGGAGGAGGATGTGAGGGTCTGGGGAAGGTTCTACAGAATCTCTTCCCTAACCCTGAAGGCAGAGTTGGTGGAGATTCTGGCCAGTTTCCACCATATACAGGGCCCCACCACCTTTAGCTGGCCCCTTCAGGGCCAATGTCAGGGAAATTCTCACACTGAGTATCATACTTCTTTCTCATCAAAAGTGTCCTCATCTTTTGAGGCTGCCACACTAATTATCCCCCTCTACACACACACACACTCACATGCTCACACACTGGCTCAATGCTTTATCCTGGCAGGCATGGTCGTAAATTACTAGAAAGAATTAATCAGGAAGCCATATATTACTCTTACAGACCTATAGTTGTGTGTGTGTGTGTATGTGTGTGTGTGTGTGTGTGTGGTCATTTTCCACACGGGCTTCTGAATCTGAAGTCATCCTTCCAGGACTGCTTCCCCAGGCCCTCTTTAACATTGTGGGGCTTAGGGCACGAGTGTGGGTGGAAGGCACATGCCCTATGTGTAAACAGTTAGAAGTAACACACCCAATTAGCAAATGATTCAATTAAAAATGCCCTCTCCTCTTGCCATGACAAACATTCCCTGTTAAGGATGTGGAAGTCCAGGTTCAAATTTAGAATCCTTGAATCCCTGTGCTCTGTCCGAACTCATGCAGGATGGGGAGAGCCAGCTGTGGCTCCCTTCTCTCCCACTCCCTGGTCCATCCCCTGCTACACCTGGCCTGTGGCAGCCATGTGGACACTCCCCTCCTTAGGGTAGGCCCAGCAGGGGGGTGGGTCTGCCCTCAGGGACAGAGACTGTGCAGTCTCAAGGCCTCTTGAATTCAGGGCCTAGAAGGGAGCTTGTGAGTCCATGTGGGCACATTATTTCAGCTCCGTGAGCTTCTCCCCTTAGGGAGGGTCTGGTCAAAAGGGCCAGGACAGCAAGGCTGGGACTAGGGTGAGGCAAGTGGGGTGTCACTGTCAGGGTCACACAAAGGTAAGTTGGCTCCTGCCTCACCCCAATCTTGGCCTGCAGGACAGGGTCCTCCAGGGTGGGCTGCTCAGGGCAGGCCGACTCCTGTTGTCTGGTCTCATAGGAGCTGAAATTTACTTCTGCCCATCAAGTCAGACAGAGGTAAGGTGACAGAAGCAGACTCTCTCTCCTGCGCACCCCACTCCTCCAGAGTCCCGTCAAGCACCTCAGACACAGTTCAGGGAGCTTCACTTCCAGGTCAGCCTCCATGGCGCCCCCTGGGCTCACACTCAGTGAAAAATACCCAGGATGATTCATGATGATCCCGTCAGGGGCCTCTCAGAAATGAACCGAAATAAACATGAGGAAAAACTCCAGTGTACCGATGGCTCAGAACAATCTCACAGAGCAGAGTTCAGTAAAAACTAAAGCGAGTCAAAGCTCATTAGAAATATGGAAGTATTGGGGCAGGAAAAGGCTGTGGGAGAGGAGCTGGAAATGAATCCACGTGCCTTTTGGAGAGGCCTGGACTAAATTTGGACTGAATTGTATTCTGCTGCTCCCCACCCCCACCCCCAGAGTGCTGTGTTGAAGCCCCAATCCCCAGTGTGACAGTATATGTGGAGGAGATAGGGCCTTTAGGAAGGTAATTATGGTTAAAGGAGGTCATAAGGGTGGGGCCCTGACCCCATGGTGCTGGTGTCCCTATCAGAAGAGGAACAGATATCAGAGCTCTCTCCTCATGCACACAGAGAAGAGGCCATGTGAGGGCATAGCAAGAAGTTACCATCTGCAAGCCAGAGGGGAATCCACCCCAGAAACTGACCAACCTAGAGGGCACCTTGATCTTGGACTATGAGGCTCTGTCGTTTGAGCCCCGCAGTCTATGGTATTCTGTTATGACAGCCCTAGCAGACTAATAGGAAGCTAAATCAGCGAGGGAGTGTTCGTAAACAGAACACACCCAAGAGCAAGCACAGGGTGTGCTCATAGAGCCTGTCACTCAGTCAGGTATTTGTGGGAGGCATTTAGGAGAGCCTGGAGAGGAGAAGAGAAAGGCGCTGGGCAGGAGCCCACAGCCTGAGCTCTAACCTGGCCTCCATCATGAGTTAATGAACCCCACTCTCACTGGAACCCCGCTAAGTTTGTATTTTCTCCTCTACGAAATGGAACTGATGATATATGTCCTGTTTAATTGGCAGAGCAGGTGGGAAGACCAAGTAAAATCAAATTACGAGAAGGCTGTTAAGGTTGCATAGAGCGAGGCAGATGTAAAGGTTGTTTCTCACCTGCGTTGTCCAATCTGCCAGTTCATGTTCACCCAGCCGAAGCGGGTTTGCTCCGTTCTCCCATGCCCATCCAAGCCTTGAGCCCCCAGGACTGAGTACAACAGTTCTGCCTCCAAGGTATGCATGATCTAGATGGAGGCAGACACTAAAGACCAGCTATCTCTT